ATAATGAATCTAAGTTTCAAATGGACAGCAACTGCCTGTTGTAGAAACCTACAAATGTAGAGGACGACGTTTGTAGGTTTCTACGACAGACAGTTGCTGTCCATTTGAAACTTAGATTCATTATGAATACTCTGCTTAAACAACCTATCAAAGATAACCATAGTCACGTTTTGCCGGCTTGGAAAAAGCATGCACACCATAACTATTGTTGATGTAAATATTGGCTGATATGAATAGTGTTCCAACCACTATTGTATTTCTTGTGTATAAGCCGGCCTGATGAGCTTTGAATTGGGAGAAAGGCGTCGTTAGCAATGGATATGGCGAATATAGTATACTTAGAAAACTATTATTATATATTCTTCTAATTATTCAAAATCCGTTAGGAAGAAGATTAGAAGGCTAGTAGGTTAGAAGTACAATATGCCTAATTCTAATGTAGAATGACCATTATAATCAATCATAACCATATATTTTGTTCTACTGCCAAGGGCACGAACACAGCTTTTGCCATTGACCTTTGTGTTCATGGTCTACCTGTTACATGACACTGCACTTTGCTTACGATGACTAGGGTACGACTTGCTACAGGTATCTTTCTAAATGGTCCTTGAGCCCCAAGTTGATTCATGTTCCTTTGTTTTTCAATGCCATTAAGACAATGGATATCTGTGCTTTGAAATTAGAAATGTCTGATCTGAACATATTTTTGTGATCCGAGTGTATGAATATTGTGCTTTAGAAAGGGCTAATATTTAGCCTTCACAAAATTTGATCTACTTTTGATGGCAATGCCAAATAATATCAAAATGTAGTTCTGATAAATTCTGTTCCACCACAGCTGTATATTACTTGTGGTTGTCACGTGATTTACTGAGCTACATATTCAAAATCATTTTAATATAACGTACTCAATCCCTTATAGCTGCCAGAAGCCAGTTGTATATATATATAGATCAATGTTCCATTTCAGTTTTAACCTCGCTTATGTTGGCTCCTATGATACTGATTTTAGCTCCAAACTGTTCACACATCTTGATTTTCATTATAGGAGCTATAATGGGCATTACAACTGTGACAGGCACATGAAGCTGTTGTCCGTGGTAACTCAGAGCAAGGGCATGGTTTCCTGCTGATGCTGTGATAACGCCATTCTTCTTCTGTTCCTGGATAAAAAAAAGTTTGAAAGAACAAAAAATAATTTAACAACTAAAGATAATTTAAGGATATTAAAAAGAAAAATATTTTGGTATTAACACACATGTATGCTAAACGAAAGTAGAAAGCACAATAACTGTACAATAACTAGCTATATCGAATGTTACCAGGAAAAGAACTCCTTTAAACTGTATAATAGCTATATACAGCATAGCAAGGAAAGTCACTCTGTCAAATTTTTATGATAGCTATGCAGAATGTAACCGGAAAAGGAACTCAGTACAAATGTATGATATCTACATAGAACGTACCAGTCAAATTATGTAATAGCCGCATAAAATATAATAAGAAAAGGAACTCAGTGAAAATATATAAGAGCTTTATATGATGCAAACAGGAAAGGAACTCGGTCAAATTGTATACTAGCTATATAGACGAAATCAGGAAAGGAAATATGAAATTGCTTATCTTTCAGCTCTGATGAAAAACACAATATTAAACTAATTAACGTGGTACTCGACCTGTAATAGGTTTGTGATCAGCAAGAACTACAGAGTTAGCCATCTCCCTATTCAGTGAATTGTACCTACGTCAACTCGAAATTAACTTGCTCATCGTGAACCCTTGATAAGGCATCAAGGAAGTTTCAGACTAGAAAGAAGACTTTTTTTGCTTGTAAGTTTGTGGAACTTTTGTATATAAATCATTGTTTGTAGTAGCTGTTTGTAATAACTGTTATTGTAAATTGTATTATTGTTTGTATATTAAAACATATTTGTATAAAACAAAGAAAACTGTGTGTATCACTCTTGTTGGCAAATATCATAAATTGGAGATATATAGGCATTTGATTAACTACTAAATCTAAATTACAATTTAACTTAGTTTTAGGCTATTAGAAATTGTAATATGTAACAATATATAAATGAAACAGCCAAGTCAAATTCAATACCAGGCACTTTACAGCTTGTACATTGAAAGCTGAGGCACTGTTTCTCAAAATGAAGGAACGCTTTCATTCAGCATGACAGCAACTTTCCAAAGTTCTTGCAGCTGCCGCAAGGTGGCACAATGGCACACTTTTTGATACTGTGACGGACTTACTACTATATATCTATTTTAATATCGATGTTTGTTTAAGTTAGATTTGTATTTAGAAATATACATGACTTATACTTATGACTCGAAAGAAATGCACTTATTGGATTATGTTTCCAAGTTTTGGTCTAGAGTCTTATGCACTTGTGAATTGGCTCGAGAAAATTTGAGGTCATCCCAAGTTAAAATGAAAAATGTTTATGACCGCAAGGCTGAAGAGAGTAAGTTCCATCCTGGTGACATGGTCTTCGTATTATTACTCACTATGGGACATCCACTCATAGCTAGGACCCTGTTCATAAAGTTAATGATACGGACTATGTTGTAGAAACACCTGATCGTCGAAAGGCTACCCAGCTGTGTCCTATTAATATGTTGAAGCCCTATCACATCCGAGATGCATCCGAAAATATTGTAGCTGTTGAATGTTCCTTTGATATTGATAACGGTTGCTTTGACTCAGACACCAATAAATTCGAAAATATCGGAGATGAAAGCAACATCAAACTGAGTAATTCTGACATTCTGGTCAATCTTGATTCAAATCTCGATCACTTGCCTTCTGAAGAGAAAAATCAACTTGCTAGTCTATTGGTTGAATACTAATGTATATTTCTGGACGTTCCTATTCAAACTAACATCGCTGTCCACGATGTAGATATAGGTGAAGCTTCTCCTGTTAAACAACATCCCTTTCGTGTGAATCCAATCAAGGTCGATAAAATGTGTAAAGAAATGTCTTATATGCTAGAAAACGGCATTTATAGAGCCCAGTAAAAGTGATTGATCTTCACCTTGTGTACTGGTCCCTAAATCTGATGGTTCTGTTAGATTCTGTACAGACTTTTGCAAAGTAATTGACAAAGAGAGATTCCCATCCCATTCCAAAAATGGAGGATTGTGTTGATAAAATTGTAAAAGCCAGATATATCACAAAGTATGATCTACTAAAAAAGATACTGGGCTGTTCCTCTAACTGACAGGGCAAAAGAAATATCTGATTTTGTTACTCCTAATGGATTATACCAGTACAATGTACTGCCTTTTGGGATGAAAAATTCTCAAGCAACTTTTCACTGAATGATGAATCAATGTCTCAACAATCTGTCAGATGTTGGAATTGATGTTGATGATATTGTGATTTCCAGTGACACATGGGAAGAACATTTATGTGTATAACGTGATGTTTTTGACAGGCTAAAGAAAGCCAATCTGTGTGTGTACGAATCTTGTTGGCTAATATAATAAATTGGTACATATTGGCATTTATTTAACTACTAAATCTAAATTACAATTTAACTCAATCTTAGGATATTTGAAATTGTAATATGTAACAATACTTTATTAGCAGATAACAAATCAGGATCTCTTACTGAGTGTTTTTCACAAATATTAGCATAATATTGATAGTTGACTATTGTGACAGAAGGTAGTTGATTATACCAAAACGATTGTCGAGATGTTAAAAATTAAACGATAATTTTGGATTTTTAGCATAAAAGAAAAACACATTTATTAGGCAACGTTTTGGTTATCCTATTCTTAGCGACTATAAGTCTAGAGACCACCACTAAATGAATAACAAATATAAAAGGATCTAAAATATATTCCATGAATGTCATGAGAGCCCGTTTTCCCAACTACATAATCATTTAGTCGCTAGTGAACTGAACAAAGTATGGAATCTTGTTGGCAATAAATAGTCTTCAGGAAGTTGTTACAGACACCAGATAAACCTTACAGACAATTTTGTTTTAGTTTTCACTATGGTAGTTCAGAATTGTTCTATAAAATATGGGGAACAAATCCCCACTTAGTTATACCTCATAAGGGATTGGTAAAAGTGTCAGCAGATTAGCGTATCTATGATCAGGTGGTAAGTTATCCTACCACTATAAGACTGTAGGTGAGGGGGGTTTGTTGAGAATATTTTTTTTCTACTAGTAGATATTTGTAGGTGAGATTGAATTATAAATATTATCCTTCCAGAATGTGACTGTAGCTGACATTGGTTGAGAGGAGCTGTCCTACCAGTAGACGATTGTAACTGAGATTGGTTGATAATTATTATACATCCAGTAGGTGACTAACTGAGATTGGTAGGGAGGAGTTGTCCTACCAGTAGACGATTGTAACTGAGATTGGTTGATAATTATTATACATCCAGTAGGTGACTAACTGAGATTGGTAGGGAGGAGTTGTCCTACCAGTAGACGATTTTAATTGAAACTGGTTGATAAGAATTATCTTTCCAGTATGTAGCTAAAATTGTGTGATGGTCAAGTACCACTATTTAGTTTCAATGTTTCAATATTCATGTTTAGTTAATAATTATTTCAGTATATTTGACATTTGTTGGGTCTGTGATTTTACATACATATATTAATGATAGCATTAGGGCTATTATGAAACACGAGTTTTACATAAGATATATAAATGGAGACTTATTTTAATCGTTTAAACATACTATTTAGAAACTGATATGTATTGGGTGTAATTTATCATAAAAGACTAAGCTAGGCACATAATTATCTAGCTCTTGACTATTAGTCTGAACAGAGGAAATTATCAATTTAAGTTAAGCATAACTTATATTTTCTGACTTACAATTTTTGAACTTTTTTCAGACTGCTGTATGTCAGGTAGTTTAATCTTACTGATTAGTGAGCATAAAATGCTTTTCTTGTAAAGTACGATGATCTCAGCAAAATATAAGAATTGTATACGAACTTTTTTTTGCTTACAAATTATATAAAATATTACATAGTGAACTGAAATCAGCAATTAGTAATATGGACATAACTTACAAAAGTTGTATGAAAGATTAGTGTATTTTGAAGTTTTGTTAACAAATGTTTCAGTATTGACGTTTTGTTAAGTTTATTTTTCTTATTTACATAAATTCATGACAGTATATTGGGCTATGATTAAACGTGAGTTATATATAAGAAAATCACCGATGATTAATATATATTTGATGATCTTTCTATAAACTATAAGTGAAAGATAATACATGTTACCGAAACACTGTTTCTAAATCTATGCGAGAAAATTATCTATTTTAAAGTTGTCGATAAGCTAGCTTTAACGAGCCTACAAACTGTAATTTTACTTGTTTAGTTTGCATTGAACCCTTTATTCTTTTATTATGTAGATAAATGACTCTAGTACGATGTCTCGAGATTAATTCAATGTTTGTTTTCATATAATGTTTCACAAATGAAAAATATAAACTCTAACTGAATTAGTGATATGGAAATAATATATGAAAGCTAAAGCAGTATTTTATAAACAAAAATGTTTGTAGTTTACTAGTTATCTTGAACTTTTCTTAATAAATGTGTCAGTATACTTGTCACGTCTGTGGTTGTACATTGTTGCTTTAATAATATACAGTAAATGTGTTGGATGTGTAAAATGTGAAAGAATAACTACTTGATTTATAATTAAAGGTCCTTTTAAGATTATGGTTGTCAACTCTTTTTTTCATTTATGTTCATTTGTGAAAATTGTATTTGCTACGTTGGTGAACTAATAAGTTTAAATATTATAATGTACATAAAGTGAAGTTTTGAAAGATACAGAAATAGAAATTCTGGTTTGACTGTCAGTTTTATAGAAACGAAAGTATTGTTGCGTCAGCGAGGTCACGTGACTAGTGTGACGCCACGTTTCTAGAACTATCTTGTTCCTTCATG